GGCAGTATCGCAGCCCACACGCAATTAATGAACTGAAATTCTGTGGCGCATATTATTTGGCGCACTGTTGTACCAATATATATGTGTTCAAATAATAATAATAATTAATATTATTATTATAAGGAACGGTTTAGTCGTCATAACACAAAATTGGATGTTAACATATAAGTTGGTGTGTCTATTTCTCCTATCGGTCAATAATCAATTGTTTATGATAATAGAAAGGAAACTTTGAATTTGATGGCTTCGACATATAGTCACTTATATATATAAATGTACGTAATGTTTGTCGACAATTGATAATGAATATTAGTATGTTTTTTTTCTTTGAATAACTGAGTGGAATATGGATCATAACTGAATCAGACGGTTGGATACAATAACACTTTTGAACTGAAACAAATTATCAACAAGTTATCAACGAATAACATTCCAGTTTGTTTGAAGAGAATTTTTATAGATTCGACTAACTCACCGATTGTATTCATGAATGATTAATTCCACATCAGGGTAGATACTATTAAAGACTAGAAAGCGCTAGATGAACGTAGCAATATATTATAGGGTTGTTTAACAATAGGTGATCGTAGTCCCTCCATGATACCTTAATATTCTATTTATTTGACGAATAAAAATTCATCAATATAGGGTTGTGGAGATTATCACGCTTTGATTGAGATCCTGAATCGACTGATGTTTGACCACCAATGCTAGCCGTTTCGTCATATGGTGGAAATCCTCACTATTGATCAGGGTTTGATCCCAAGATCTACGGTGTCTTTCGTATTTATCATTCTTACTAATTTCATTAGTTTATCTGATCTTCTGTTGCCATAACAACAACATAAAATCAATTGATTTTTCTCTCTTCTAAATTTAGTTTACATGCTAGTAATATTGATTCTATTCCCATCCTCACCCTCATTCTCACAGCCTTTCTTCTTTTTTATTTAATACCATGTTCATCTATACCTGTTTGAGAACATTGTTGCTTAGTGATTGAATATGAATAAATTTTAGATATAAAAAAATGTTCAAGTATTGACATCTTGACAATTTCTCAATCTTTAGAAATCAGGTTCTCTTGAACTTTATACTGAAAAACAATCAGTGAGTAGTATGGAAGTAGTTTGTTTTGGAAGATAAGTTCATATTTATATATAAATGTGCATAGAATGAATAGGATTACAAGTAAATATAATGTCTGAATTGATCTACAGAATATCTGAGAACCATATAGTGAAACCTTCATCAATCATCTCAGAATTTATTGTTCATTCGTTTCCACAGCAATCATTCTCTGTTCTCGTTCCATTCTCTTTGAGCTTCAAAACCTTGTGCCATCACGTATTTCACTTTCTAATAATGATACATACTACTCACATCTGTCAACATCAGTAGTACACATAACATAATACTGTTCCAACTCATTTCAATTCATATTATTAATTTCAAACATCTGTGGAGATATTATATCTTGTTATAATTTACATTTGTATCAGCCTTAATATTGTTTTGATGAACTCATTGGCTGACTGGTACAATAAACAAGATGAAGATAGTTTCTATGACAAATCAAGGGATGAATCGGAAATCAGCAACACAGTTAACTGCTGTTTCATCACATGTCAGTATTATGTTTCAATAAATTTATATTCAATCTAATTTATGGATCAGTTTATGTGAAGATAATGACAACTTGAGAGGTAATGTCAGTCAGTCAGTCACTCATTCACTCAGTTAGCTACAACGTAGGACCAGACACATATATACATGGGTCCAAGTTGCCATAACTCGTTAGCACAGCAAGATGAACACTGGATACATAGAAGTAGTTAATTCAGTGGTAGTAATATAGAAACCAAAGATTGCATATAAGGTAATATACGAATCTAGGGATCTATATATCGGTATTCAATTAGCTTCATAGACGACACTATTTGTGTAATGAACAAGAACACGAATGGGTCAAGCAAACTTTATTGACCTCGAATAATAGAATCTCTTGATGAAATCTGCGATCCATAGAGTGAATATTTCATGTACAAAGTGCCAATCAACTGTCTCATACTTCATTGCTCCTTCGTTCCCATACTTATCACTTTCTATTCTCGTACTCTTCTCTCTGAATTTTTTCAACCTTCTACCTTCAGACATTCCACTTTCGATTGATGATACATACTACTTATATCTATCGATATCAGTATCACACACCATTGTATTTTCAGAGTAGAGGAATTCCGTTGAATATGAAGGGGTGGTAAAATCAGTTTGTTAGACGAATCAATATATTGTCTATCAGCCTTAAAGCATTTGAAAACTATACACAACAATCAATAATTTGTCAAAGATCTTTATAGTTAGACCATCATTGAAAATCTGAGATACATCAATAATGCGCATCGACGTTCCTGCACATGGGATTAGACACCAGGATCTTCGATTTCGTGTGCGAACACTTAACTTATGAATAACTGAGCTGGTCAGAATCCAAAGGTGTTAGTGTGTGACTACAATCAATCCGTGAAATCGCGCTACTGTCCACCATCTATAGAAAATTAATATCAACCAGTGTAAAAAATTCGTCGATGACAAGAATCTTCTACTTAGTCTTATTATTAATCTTAATTGTCAACGTTTTACTACTTACAAGTTGTTAGTAGTTTATTTATTGTATTCAAAGATGAGTATTGATTCATGTAAATTCAAGCGTCTGAATATATTTCAATATGAAGTGAGTTTGATTCGACTTCAAGCTGTGAATAATTTAATGAATTCAAGATCAACTTTACTCTGATACCAAGTAATTTCAATAATGCTTGTCTTAAATAATCAAGTTACACAGTTGAAGTAGAACTGAAATTATTGATCTGTTCAGTGAAATCTATTCGTTAACAGATGAATTCGCAGAATGGTGTTTTCCATGGTGGTCTAGCTACAATTGATCCATGAAATCAACTGTTAAAAATTACTAGAGTGTGGCCAAAACCCCATTTGACCAACAATCATCATGTATTCACTTGTGACTGGCTTCATGAGGTATTTCCTGAAGTTCTATTGAGAATTCGTGGTCAGTGTAGTTCAACCGTGTATACTGTTGAGGCAGTAAATCAGTTTGGATTTCATCGCAATACCTGCAATATAAATAGAATTAGTAATGGTGGAAGTAAATGATAATTAGGAATCTTTGAATTATAGCATGAACTAAAATTCTCACAAACAACGCGATTCAACAAAGAAGAACTAGATAAGCACTAACGAATGTATTTTATTTCGAATTCGAATCAATCAAGCAATCACGTACAAAAAGAGTCCTTAGTTCATACAAACAGCGCAAAGTAGTAACAATAAAGGTAGGACAGCGTATGATTTAAGTGTGTGTGTGTATTTTAATTGCATGGACAGAAGAATATAGTATTGTTCAAGAATTGAAAGTAGAATTCAGACGTATAAAAGTGGAAGGAAGAGAAAAGAAGAGAGAAGATAAAACGGTTAGCAACTAAAATAAGAACGGAAATGAAAGGACGACGGGTTCCGTGAAAAACAATTAAAGAAAGTTAGGCGAATTATTTACATCATGTACTTTTACACATTTCAGTTATGCAGTATGTGTATTGGCATAACTTCATAAATCTGTTTACTATTACCTACTCTCTATATTAATAACAGATGTAGTATTGGTAGTGTTGATAGTGATAGATTGTCCGGTAGTTGTTAATGTGATGCAGATAGTATAATGCTTAGTAATTTATTATTAGTCATTTCAGAATCTGTAGTAATAGTAGTAGGAGTGTAGTAGCTAGTAGACCTGTCATCAAAACTATCAATTTTTACTTATTTTGTTTGATTATGTAATCTATTTCTTTGTTATTATTGACTCATAAACTATCTTGATTGGTTTGGTATTTTCATATATCCATATAAATATTACTTTCTATATTAGAGTATAGTCTGATGATGGTTTAATTGAAAGCCATACTGTTCGTTTTCGGTTCAATTCTATATAGCAATTCTAGTTTTTTATGTTCAGTCGATAGATCTCTTTCAATTACAACCCTTATTCTTGATTGTTGCTTTCATTACATCATGGATCATGTAAAGTGAATAGCAACAATTATTCATACTTGTTGTTATGTATATGAAAATGAGCTGATTAAAAAGAAAATTATCACTTGTCTACTTGAATAGATTCAAATCAACCATTTTAAAATAGTTTAAGTTCATAGTAAATCTATTTATCTAATTAAATCATTCAGATGATAACAAGAAGCTGGACAACTGTTGATGAATTGGTTTTAATATGCATAAATTACTTAAACATTTTACATAAATAAACTATCTATTCATTGAAATCTATTTGGTAACTCACTTACAAAAGTAGTTACTGTGAATGTTTCATTAAAAAAAATGTTTGAGAAAAGTGCTAAACTCTTATTCATTATATGATTTACTTAGATGGTGGTTGGAGGTAGTCAACAGGAAACCCTGGACCAGGGTTTCGTGCTACTTGGCACTCGTCAGCAAGGTGAACCTGTAATCTTGAGGGAACTGGTGCTCCCTGGCGGATTCGATCTCGTGTCACCCAGCTTCACAGTCAGAGACGTTACCACTGAGCTATCCGAGCCGTGACTAACCTCCTGTTGGACTGAGATGTAATCACAATTGATTGATCACTGGGTGGTGATCAATCTCATGCTTGTCTAGTCCTTATTACATGATCGATAGCATTCGATCATGATCAATCGATTGTGATTATATAATTTACTCTTGTTTAGCTGAACAAACTTGTTTACTATAGAATAATTGACATTAAAGTCATTTGATAGTTTAAAAAAATATGTTCCGTTACTAATTAAAACAACCGAAATTTATCTACGGTACCATGAATATGTTGTCTTGTGGTTTCTAATTAGAATTATAGCATAATTTAGATTTCGTCTAAATCTCATATCATCAAATGATGAACCGATATGAATTAGGATTAAAAAAAAGAATTTGATATGAATTCATGGACATCATTAACATCATTATCAACACCATATATATCACGTATAGAAGATAGTGAAACACACCAAGTTTATAGATCATTCTCAGCATCAGTTGATATAACTCATACAAAAACTGGACAAGCTACATTGAAACATCAACAACTATTAATAAAACATCCGGCTGAAAGAACTGAACATAAAGGATGTAAATTTACATTTTTTCTTGGCCTTTTTATAACTCTTTAATTATGTTTATATGAACAGGCACTTACACCAACAATTTTAAAATTTTCTTTGTTTAGTCTGATAGGTGAGATATTCAATTAAATAATCACAAATGTAATGCATTATTCATGTTCATGTAACGAATAAGAAATAAAGACATGAATTATTAATTTTGTTCTTTATAAAATGGATAATCGATTAATTCAATACTTCAACTAACTCCTCCTGGAGTCCCTCCTGACTCTACTGACGGTCCGAAATCCGGATAAAGGAGGAGGGTTGGGCATGGGGTTAACGAACTCATCCCGTAGAAAACTAACTCGCTAAAAAAACGTTAACCATTACATTAAATTGTTCTCAATCGAACTGCCTCATGTTTTTCTGGTTTGATTGTTTTCAATGTTTCATTGGAAACAATGAATCGTAGCTGGTTTTTTCTAATACTAGACATGAACCTTAAATTGTAAATTTGTTATGATGTAACTGGCTACTCTTTAAGATCTTACATGGAAGTCATTTTGAAACGTGTTTATTTAAAAGAGGTTGCACTTTTCTCGTTCTATCTGATGATGTATAAAAATATAACTAACACTTCAAAGTCTTCATTTCAATAGTTCGATATCCATACAACGTTGATACAATTGTGATCTGTAGAAATTATTAAATAAACGATAAGATATTACATTCACTTGGTGTGGCGGATACTAGAGATGACGAGTCCCAAAAAGAACAAAACGCATGTCTTGGATTTCACTACTAGCCACTATCCATCTTTGCTTCAGAAGAGATTACATTTTGTGTTTATCCTAATGCTTTATGATCCATTCGTTCATTACATGGATTGTCTGATTGAAGGAACATGTTTTTTATAGTGTAAAACTCCTGCAAGTATAGAATGCGCACAACAATGTCTGGGTAGACAAATAAAGGATTTGTTGATTCAGTTTCCATTAAAAATTACATTGATGTTTTGAAAAATAAAACTATAACGGGATTCTTCAACTACTTATAACATTGTAATAAGTAGTCTAAATACATCTATATAGAATAGTAAGGTATTGCGTAAACGAAATACAAATGAAGAAAATCCATTAATGAAATGACTTCAGAAAGACAGTAGATGATGGAAACAGCTCATTGTTTTCTTAATAACGGTTAAAGCGAAAATCTACGAATGTTATTTGTTTTCTCTCCCGAATTCGCTGGTACGGAGGAGAGTATACAGCCACTGCAAAAGAAATCCTACTGACTGTGTTCTCGTAGCATTACTGTTGTTTACAAAATTGAGAAGACTAAAAGCGAATGTCCGATGCGTTAACTACGTTGCTAAAAACGGAGGACTTACTCAGGGAAGTTAGAGAACACAGTACTGTCTTCATCTAAATCTCAGTCAGCTCATTTTACATCTGGAGTAGGAGGTCAGTAGTTTTAGTGTGATGTGTGATACTCAATCTCGACAGTTATAAGTAGTATGTATCACTAATCGAAAGTGGAATGTCTGGTGACAGAAAGTTGAGAAAATCGAAAATCAGAGGACGAGAATGGAATACATACTTCGAATCCCTCATTCAAACTGTTAACATTGTTGATTGTTACTACCATTAAAACACAGTAATTACATAATGTACATCAATCAACTACCTACTGACAAACCATATATTGTGAAATTTAATTACTATCCTATTGATATCTATGACTAGAAAGGTAAGTGTATGATTATTCTCAGGGTTGTATGACGATGTAACTCATTATCATTCCACTTTTAATGGAACGAATCAAACTTCCTCAATGTTAGATATGTCGAAGCGTCAACAAAATCCTACTAAACTGTATTCATAACAATTCATTTATCAAACTATAGATAATCTATTACATCTATCAGAAGGGTTCTTGTACACAATATAGTAATGCCAATCGTTGAGATCATGAGTCAATTGAAGCTAGACCACCATGCAAAACCTCGAAGTATTGGACGGCCGTTTCGCCCCATTGTGGGACTCATCAGCAGTGCGCATCATCATCACCATCTTCCAAAGCATCATCATCATCATCATTACACCATGCATTCTCTGACTTACTTCTCTTCTCTTCGAACATTCCTAGCCTTCTGCCAGTAGGTTTTTCGCTTTCGATTGATGATGCATACTACTTATATCTGTCTATATCAGTAGCACACATCATTTGAGTAATTATATGAATAGTAGTACAACTAAGTCCGTAAGATTCAGAAGAACGAGAATACTCCAAAAGGGACTGATATATATATTATCACTGAGATGAAGAGGAATTCGGATATATCTGGAAAGCACTTTGGTTTTGAGTAGTAAAGCTGATGTGAATGGAATATTTACCATTAGATTAAAGGGGACAATAAAACAATACAGATAATGAATTTCTTTAGAAATTTCAAATTACATGATAATACTACTTATTTCCCCGATAGATTAGTAAGCAATAGGCAATATTCTATTATTTTTTAGACTACAATTTATGGATGACTTTTGAGTGACCCTAAAATAACCTTGCGAATGTCTACCTAAGTGCTAAAGCGAAATGAGGGTTAAAAACCTGTGTGAAGAAAGAAAGATTATGATTCACAGTTGGTGTTAAAGATTAGGAATTAGATTCAACGGAGGGATTCGGTTAATTACGAACTGACGTAAGCTATAATGGTAAAACGCTATTTAGTCAAATGGATGAATGAAGTTCGTGCCGAGATCCAGGATCCGGGTTTTGAGAAAATTATCGTCTTTCGGAATATAATCATGACATTATTAAGCTAGTTGAAACCATCATCACTGAAATGATTAATGTGATTAAAGGTCGCATATTAAGTGTAAATACTGATTATATCACCGTATTCACACCGTATGCACACCTCTTTAACAATCACATTGTAGCACTTGAAAATTCTCATAAAAATATTCAAAAATAAAAAATAATTTAGCGAACAATCGTTTTCATTAACTTCATCATCACACTATACAGTTATAAGCCCATAATTTCCATATTTTATAAAGGCCAAAAAGAAGGCATGACATTAATGAATTAGACAATGTAATGTGTGTGAACAATGGTGAACGTTTACATCTGTTACGATATAGATATTTACAAATCAGAAAGATCATTCATTAAAGGTCGGGATGATTTACAGTGAAAACACTTTACTGCATAATAAGTGCAACAGCATTCGAGAGAAATTGAAAGTGCAAAACATTTCACGTCAATTAAATGCATAGTACGAGAATGGAGTATTGTCAATGCAGATAATAATAATAATGAAATTAAGATTGTTGTGTATATATCATATGTTATAAGGAGGGTGTTATCACGGTTATTACGATCCATCATTCCGATGGATGTGCAGATTAAGATATAGATAATGAACAATAATAATCATAAGGAAAATAAATGATCATGACATTTTAAATGTGCATTGATACAGATGATCTAATTCATATTGATACGTTGAATGTACGATAGATCTTTGTTGAGTCAGTCAGACGACGTAGGCTTGTTCATTGACACTTCATGAAACTAATATTTCAAATGATTGTCAAAATTGGTTACATTCGTAATGTCTAGATATAGTTCAGGTTTCATATTACGGCGGTGAACAATATTCACACTTGACTGATTAAACACACACTAGTTTTTATTGTCATAATTTTAAAAGGCCGAACTACAAAGAATGTACAGGTGAAAACAATAAACCGTTTCAATGGATTTCCAAATTAACCGTATTGAAATCTAACGCTTTCTAATTCTTCTTAAGAATGACTGTTTAAAAAATGAACCTTCAGTAAATATTAAGTGCCTATTTCGGTTAAATTTATTACTACTTTCATATACTGTCAAAGTCAGTTCATTCAATGATGGTCTATGGTTGGTTCACCTGAATTATACATATTGCAACCAGTAATTTATCATAATGATTTATTGATATGTTGATTTCTTTTTCCCATTAACACACCATGTGTGTTACAAAAAACCTATGCACACACTTTGATGATAATTTGTTTATTAATTTGGTATTCAACATTTGACTACCGACCTCATTCAGTCATCACTATGATCAAATATTCAAACCGGTTTTCAGTTGCTTTTTTCCAAAAACTTTCTTTTAATGAGATACATATGTGGAGATAGGTGTGACAAGCTTATTTTGTAAATAGTTTTTAATATTATTTGTACTTGTCAATTTCTCACCGCATGTACATTTATCATTAAATGATTGTACCTGTTGTTTTACTAAATGGCCTTGAAGACTTTTTCCGTTGTGATACTAACATAGCGTGACACACTTTTGGTTGTTCGCAAATACACAACTACACACACACACGCTCCTTGTTCTATTCTCACGCGTTATCGAGCTAATCACATTCTAAATCGAGTATTATCTACATTTTAGACTGCTGTGCCATTTCTATTACATCCTACGTCAAAGAAACTTACTGGAGTCATATTTACATCATTGGAGTTATTACTCGTAAACAATTGTGGATTTTTGAGACCAAAACTCAACGGAACACGCAACAACTAGCTGATTTAAGTAACGCCCCTGAACTTTTATTTTGTGTTACTAATTTATAAATTGTTATTGTTACATTAACTTTTGGACGTAATAACTTTATCGATAATTTTTGGTTATTATACATTTTGGTCCACCACAATTATTTGATGAGCCTCGATTAGTTTTTATACACATTTACTATATATATCTACATATTTTTTTAAATAATTATTATCACTTGACACGACACACCATATTTTTTGTTTTTGCCATCATGAACTCTCCTGATAAGCTCATAGATATAGATAGTCCACTGACCAACCCCTTGAACTCTTCACAATCAGAAGATAATTCTTTAAACTCAATCAACGCAATTTCAGAGTTAAGATTACCAACGTACGGTATAAATAATCTCAGAATCTGGTTTGCACAAGTCGACGCATTATTTATGGCACGAGGCATACGATCACAGGCAACGAAGTATGCATATGTAGTCGGCGCACTTCCT